GGTGGCGTGAAACGTGACCTTGAGAGAGAAGTTGGCAGGAGACCCTCTTCCCCTTCCTTCCCTTCAGGGAGCCTGAGGCTGCCCACCGAGAGCTGTGTATTCAGGGCTGCCTTTCCCTCCATGACTCATTTTACTTGACACTATGAGAAGATGAGTGTACTGAAGAGGAAGGGTATATTCTAAAGCAGACACTATTTGGTAGGTGGGTGGGTGGGACCCAGGGGGCTTGGAGGCATAAGAGTCTGGTGCCTCTGCACAGGAGTGGGACAAGCTGACTGGGGACCCTGTGCTAAAGGCATCAAGGCACAATCCCTGGAGGCAGGGCCCTGAGCGTCAGCAGTGGCTGTGACAAGCTTGTCCCTGGTCCCCACCTGTCTGGGTCCACAGCAGCCCTGGGAGCTCAGTGCTGGCAGCACAGCTACCTCTGGTGGCAGGAGAAGGGAGTCCCAACTCGGTGGCCCTACAGCCAGGTGGGCAGGTGAGGCTGGCTGATAGGGCCAACCTTTCCTAGCTGAGGCCCCGCAGCGCCTGACCAGCCTTTCTCAGGTGCCAACCCCGGCCCGTGGCCCCCACTTAGTGCCAGCAATAAAGGGGGATCAGTGCTCACTGTGGGAATACCTTCACTCTCAGTCGGGCTGGCTGTGACCTCATGAGGCTCCTTAGTGTAACTATGACCATGGGGGGGTTAGGGGAGCCCCCCTATGGAAGGTTGAACCCCATGGAAGGTACAGGCAGGAGCCCCAGACTACAGAAGAGGTGGCCATTTCCCTGCCAGGACCCCTGACTCTAGGAGCTGGGTCTCCCCCCTCCCCTTCCTCTAGCAGCAGAACTGCTGCCCTTCACCCACACCCTGTTCTTCTAGGGCTTTTTCCAGGCCTCAAAGAGGGGAGCCCCTCTGCCCTCCCTCCAGGGACCCACCCAAACGATGGTGGAGCTAGAACTGGTCCCCTTCCAATGGGCAGCCTAGTCATGCTTGCCCAGGGCCCAGGCTTGTGTTCTCCTGCCCCTGCCCCTCAGGAGAGGTCAGGTGCCCAGGAACCTACCCCCTGGGGGCAAGGTCCAGGTCCCCACAGAGAGCAGCTTCCATTGCCCCATTATATTTCTCTGGATTCTCCCTGAGGGAGAAAATGTAAGAAATGCACTGAGAGATAAGGTCGATGCCTGTTCAGCTGGGCAGCCATTTGAATGTTTGCGCTCCTCAGCTAAGGAAAAGCAGAAACTACATTGCAAATTAACAAACCCACAAGACACCCTGAGCCCAGAGCTGTGACAGCTCAGGCCAAAGTCCCCACACCTCCCACCCACCATACTCCCACCCTGCCCCTCCCAAAAGCAGGTGATTGCAATATCATGTCCCAAATTAACTATCAGGCACATGGTTTGACCAGAAGTCTTTGGAATGCATGAATTTATTTATATGAAAGTTCTTAACAGAGACAGGTTCAATTGCATTTACATATCTGGTTAAAGGATCACCTATATTAAAGAGAAAAAAGTATTTGAACCCGGGACTCACTCCAATCTAGGAGAGGAGGCCGGGGTGGGGCCGTGCCACGCCCACCTGCTGACAGAGGCGAGCGCGGAGGGGACCTCAGCGGCCTCTGGAGTCCTATTCTCAGTGCCCGCAGCTCATGCTGACATCTGGAGCCTCAGAGCCACAGCCGGCGTAGAGGAGCCGGGTTTGGAAGGGAAGCTGGGCTCACACACAGCCTGGCCTTAAAAAGGTGAGGTGAGGCAAAGGCCAGGCAGGGAGACCTCAGAGACGCAGCCGATCCAAACCTACCTGGAGGGATGGACACATCAGGATACTAAGCCCAAGCACTGATGTGAGCACAACGCCTCTCCCTATAACCCAGAGGTCATGCTGGTCCATACAGAAATGGGTTTCATGCCTGAAAATATTTCTAGGCAGAAATGTCACTTGCAGCCGGTCGAAGGTCCCAACCCCAAAGGGCCCCATTCCTCTGCAAGGATTGGGGGGTGGATGGGCAGCCTCCCTTCCACCCAGCGGCAACCCCAGATTCCCCCTCAACTTCTGGGGGGCACTGGGGCTCACAGCAAGAGCACAGAAAGGTGCTCTAAACATCCTCTGGCCCTGCTCAGCACCCTGTGGCAAGGCTCTGAGCTACCTTTTCTTTCTCTCGCCATTGCTAACATAAACCATTAGGATCACAGTGATTTTCTAAGCAATTCACCTGTTTGCTGTTGTCACTGCCGCTCAACACACCCTACATGTATGCTGTTAGTGGGGCCATATGTATCAGTTTAGAACTACTAAAGGAACCAATATGCCACAGCTAATCATAATAAACCAGATGTTTTTCTGAATGGTGTTATCTGTCTGTCTGCCTGATCCAAGACTACAGCAGCCCCTACAGACAGAGGAGCGTTGAGAGCCTGGGCTGAGCCCATCATCTGATGCAAGCCCATGTATGTGGCCTTGACTTCCTGTCCTCCACACGTGGGGACTTTGGCCCCAGAAGCAGATTGTGCATGTGTTCCGTTACATGGCAGGCTCGGCCACCCTGCACACGGAGGAGCCGGGCCGCCCCCAGCTCTGGACTAACCGCTTCCTCCACAGTGCCAGGTGGATGCCTGACACCCAGAAACAAGCTCTGATCTTCACCAGCTCCACCTGGGCCTCATTCATCTCAGAACACGCCCCCCGGCTCTGCTGCTCAGCCAAAGCTCAGAGGGGCATCCTCCACTCCTCTTGGTCCCACACTTGCACCTGACCCAGCAGTAAATCTTGTCACCTCTGCCTCCATTTCCCTCCGGCCCCACAGCTGACCCCCCTGCCTTTGCCCTTTCTCCCATGTCCACTGTCCCCAACGTGACAGTCTTCCTGCTGGCCACCTTCTCCCTGAAGCCTTTCCTGATCAACCTTCCCAAGTCTCCCCACCACCCCAGGCCCTGCCCTGCCTTCTCCTCTGCAAGCTGATGGCACCTGTTCTGCTTGTCTACTCAGTAGCTCTGTCCAGACCACCCAAGTGAGGTGTGTCCTTGCATTAGATCTCTGAAGTCCAGGGGATCCCTGATAAAATATCTGTCCAGTGACAGAGGGAGGGAGGGGGAATGAGGGAGGGAGAGGAGAGGGACAAATGACCTGGGACAGGCGCTGAGCTTGGCACTGAGGTTGTGGGTCAGTTTCGTGCAATCTGTGCAGTCAGCCTTGGAGGCCCACACTTAGAAGGGCCCACGTTTTGTTCATTGCTCTGCTGTTGCTGTCTTGAAATTCTCAATCATTTCTGGACAACGGCCCAGCGTATTTTTTCTCTACTGGGCCCCACACACGACGTGGGTCCTGTGGGCATAGCTGGAGCTGGTCCTGCCCTCTGTGCGGAGGCCCCTCCAACAGCCGTAGACCAACAGCCCTAGACCCTCCCTTTCTATTTACACCTAATCAAATCCTACCAAGCCTGAGTCAAACCTGGCCTCTCCCGCCTCATGTGAGCATTCAGGACTATCAGAAGCTCCCCACAGAGCACCCGCGATGTGCCTGCGGGTCACCATGCCTTGCCCTGGGGCTGCCCTACACAATGAAGACGGAGTGACACAAACCTGCCACTCCAGCACTTAACGGCAGACGGTCAAGAAATGAGTCGGAGCACACAGTGGGCGCAGCCCAGCAGGCCGGCGCTGTGGGAGACGGAGATAAGCAGGAGTGGGGAGCTCCAGGGGCTCAAGGCAAGACTTGGGGGTGGAGGTTGGTCCCAGAACTGAGACTTTCAGGATGGCTGAAGGCCACACCTGGAAAGCTAATGAATATTCTGTTAAGACCCGCCCCTGAGACCTCCCCTAGGATTCCCACCGGCTAAAGATAAAAAGCCTCAGGACAAAGGACCCAGCGCTTGCGCTCTCTCTAAAGCACGCCCACGCCTTTCTTGCTCAGTGTGTTATCTCTGCTTTCTCCTAAGCTCTAAGGGTCCCCATGAGACTTGGAACCAGGAGAGCATTGGGCAGTGGCAGCTCGTCCTGGGCTTACCCCCTGAACCTGTCTCCAAGGTCCCCTTTTTCTCTTTCCAGCGAGCTGACAGCAGCCCCACCTTGGCTCACTTCTTTCACTGTGACATTTCTCAGTGAGCCAAAGCTCATTTCTTTCCTGTAACATTTCTAGAGAGCCCAAGCAGCCCGCCGAGGCTCTCCTGTTGCTGCTTCTGTCCGAAGCCCTTTCTTTGTTTCACTGCCCCAGCTATAATAAAGCACTCTCGAAATCACCTGGATTCGTGTTGTGAAATCTTTCCTTCACTAAGTCAAGAACCCACACACTACCAGCCGGCCAGAGGCAAACCCACTCCAGGCCCAGGCCCTGTCCATTAACAATGTCCCTATTTAATATTCACACAAGCTTTGTGTGGTTGACGCTGTTGCTCCTATTTAGACTAAGTAAACTGAGGCTCCAGGGATTCAGTGATTTGCTCAAAGCCAGATGC